ACAACAAAATCAAAATACATAGTATTACAGTACAAGACGAGTTCGGGGGAAGAGGCTGCTCGCTTCCGTAGGAAATACTTGAAATATGACTCCCTACACGTGTCCCCCGGGTAGTGCTAAACGAGCAGCACCAATTCCGGTGGTAGGTTTCGGCCACTGGCTATTCGGTTACCACCCACCAATGAAAAATCTTGTCGCCAAATGATGTTGTCGTTTTCCGGCATGATGCTTGGTGAAGCCATATGGAGAATGGGTCTGAACAGTAGCGTTGTGTGTGTGAACCGGGTGCGAAACGTCAGTTGTTGCTGTGTCGAGTGCTTGGTCGTGGTGGGTAGCGGGATCCGAAGCACGGTGTTCCGCTGGCCGACCGCAGGAAGTTGGGGGCCCAATTAGGGAATTAGCTACTCATAAAAGGCTGCCCCGCCAACTACTTGATCTGGAGACTCGGGCATCCCCGAAGTCTCCAGATCAAGTTCCCATGGGCGCAGTAACTCTGATAGTTTCGTTTGGTTGCTAATGCAACGCCTCGTTAAACTGCCATTCTGCATCCTTATTCATTCTTTACTACCAATATGTATCTTAAAAAGAAATGTATGGCTAAACAGCGGTTGCACATCCTCAGATTATAAGTGCACTTCACTAATATTCGAGGATTGCACTCTAATCTCAGCGCAGTCCATCACCATATTGAGACTGAGAAGCCGCACTTAATTTTCTTGGCGGAGACTTAAATTGGATGTCCATTAAGTGCGGCGTACCTTAATTATCCTGGATTCTACCTGGAGCACAAATTCCATCTACGTGCCGGAGTCTGTGTGTGTACGTCCGCAACGACATCTGCTTCCAGCGTCTCCGTCACCTTGTAAACTATGTTTCTACAATCTGGGTGATTGTAGATACAGGTATTGATAAAATCCTTAATGCCTGTGTTTATCGTTCCCACAGCGGTGACCAGAAGACAACACGATTATTTGATCTCCTTAGTGAGGCTGCTGATGTGGCCCTAAATAGGTATCATTCTGCATAGCTGGTCTTTCTGGGGGACTTTAACGCCCGTCACCAAGACTGGCTGTTCCCATACCAGAAAACCGACCCTGCTGAAAGAGAAGCGTATAATTTTGTCTTGACGCTAGATCTTTCTCAGCTAGTAAAGGAAGCGACTAGGGTACCCGATATAGACAGTCACACAGCCAATTGCTTGGACCTTCTGCTGACTACTGAATCAAACAGGTATGAAGTACAGGTTACCTCCCTTTTGGAAACATCTGACCACTGTCTGGTGAAATCTGTATTGTCATATTCTCTACCTGATTACGAGTCCCAAGGTGCTCGACGAATATGGCGGTATAAGTCAACTGATTGGGATGAGATGCAACACTTTTTCTATCCTATCCTTGGTGGGAGCTCAGTTTCCCTTCTGAGGATCCATCGAGTTGTGTGGATGTGATAACCGATGTGTTGAGTTGTGTATCGCCAGCAACGCAAAATCAGGAATTCGCATTTAGAGAAACCCAAAATTAGGGGCTTTTTAGGTGCTAATTAGGTGCCAAGTTTAAAAATTAGGTGCTCTAAAATTTTCACCGCAAGGAACGATTGAAATTTGCGTTGCCAGCAAAACGTCTCGCTAGCAACGCAATAAAGTTATTAGATATACCATAAATATTAATAGCAAGGAATTAAGTGCTAATTAGGTGCTGCAAGTATAAACAATAACAAGGCACCCCTAATAAAAATAAAGTCGTTATTCAGAACATAGCAGATGCAAAATTCAGATTTCCTGAAAATCAAAATTGAATCAAAATTGCTTTCAGAAAAAGTCCAAATTAGGGGCTTTTTAGGTGCTAATTAAGTACCAAGTTTAAAAATTAGGTGCTCTAAAATTTTCACCGCAACGATCGATTGAAATTTGCGTTGCTGGCAAAACGTATCGCTAGCAACGCAATTACGTTATTAGATATACGATAAATATTAATAGCTAGGAATTAAGTGCTAATTAAGTGCTGAGCGATTATCGAAACCCGATACAGATTCAGACATTATTATGGCAATTATAGGGTCCATGACCACCATTACCTTACTATAAGGTATGAACGGCAATTTATGTTCTGTATCAGTACCTAAAAATTAAGTGCTAATTAGGTGCTGAAAGATTATTGAGATCGCAAGGAGATGACGGTAATATTCCGGAAATTATCGGATTTAAAACCACCATTACCTTACTATTAGGTATGAACGACATTTTTTGTTTTTCAGATTTTATATAATCCATAATATTATTTAATATAATTTTCAACCAAATAAATGTTACAATTCTTACTTTTAGACATGTGAAGCCTAAACTTTAGTGTACTTAATCAAAATAATATTTTCTTTCCAGTAAAATTGCTTCATAATAAATATCGCCATCTACATCTTTCTATAGTTTTAATCATTTTATCAAACCAAAACCGATGGATTCTCAAGGTGGTAGGTATAACTGACGCTAGATGGCGTAAACATAAAAATGGATTTATTTTATTTTTTATTTATTTAAAAAATAAACAAATTTATTAAATAAATAAAATAAATAATGGTATTGAATAAAGTTATCATGTTTGTTCAATCCATTCATAACAATTCACGATTTCATAGCTTACCGACCAGTTTATATTAAAAGTTTTTGTTCAAACATAAACAAATACGACAAATACGTTATTTTACCGTTCATAAATTGATTACATAGTGGTCTGAACTTCAACGTAAACTGTGTGTTAGGGCTTATATTTGAAATCTTGATATATTATTAAGTAAATAATTCATTGACAGTTTTCGTATCTCATAAACATGTGCCACGAAAGACAAAATAGTTTAGTAAAGTTGTAATTTGTTAGTAACTTTCATGATTATCTCAGTCACATACAAATTACTAACTTGTCTACAGATGAATCATTAATACCTTTAAAGTTTCCCACATGAAGCAAATTGGTTTCCCAGTTCAAACAAACGAATCATTCATGATTGATACATATCTATTACCTATGTCTATTTCATTCTCCATTTGTTGTTTCACACGCAGGGTGGGCAAAATTTTTTACGATATTTTATCTTTTTATCTTAATATATAAAACGGTTTTATCTCGATTATTCCATTGTTTTATTGCAAAATTATGGATTTTCATATGAAGAGCGTGAGTAGCCCCTTAAAGGAATGAGGGCATCCACGACTTTTTCTGCCACCAGGGCAGCGCCACTAGAAAGTGAGGTATATTATTTGACAGACTTCATAGCGGGGAAGTTAATATGTTCAGAAAATATAAAAGTTATTGTTTCTTTCTGTACTATTAGCAATATTTTATATTAATAATTTCAAAAATAAATAAACTAAACTACAGATATGCATAAAAGTAGAAAAATTAAAAAAAGGTTAAAAATGTACAAAACATTAAAGAGCAAACCACTGACACATTGTTTTGTTTATATATAATGTAATATAATACTCTAGAAACTGATAAACCTTTATTTAAAAACAACCTCTCAATTAACTTACATTGTGTAACAAAAAACTTTACCTCAGTTAATTATTTATAAACTGGAAATTTCTGATGAATTATGTATATGCTGGAAAATTCTCAAGATTAGAGAATTAGAAAAAAAAAAAGAATTAGAGAAAAATTACGGGAAACGTTTTAGATTAGAGTATTATATAATTGTTAATGAGAATAAAAAATACAAAAAACGTTTAAAATTAAAGATCATACAGATAATGATATATAACATATAAAGAAAAAATAAAGCGTAAATCAATTTGTTATTAAATGCTGGATGAATATTCGTCAATTAAATTTAAGGAATTATAATTGTATTTCGGACTTTTATTTGTACTTCTTGATTTAATTTTATTCTTCAGTATCTTAACATTAGGAAGAAAAAGAAAAAGTTCGTTAATATCGATATGCAGCTTGAAGTCACTCGAAAACGTCTTAAGTCCACTTCCTTAAAAATTTCAAAAATCTTGAGTGACCTTTGAGAATCAATCGATAAACTTGAAATTTTCAGAATGTACATTACATAAATTTCAACCTATAAAATAATACAATGACGAGACAATTAAAAAAAATTTCAGCTGATTTTTGGACAGGGCTCTTCAAGCGGAATAAACTAATCTATTTTCATAAGAGACTCGGAATATAAAGGTACCGTGAAATATGCCAACTTTGCCACCAGGGAAAACTTTGCCCGAAACACAATTTTTAAGCAAATCAACTAATAAAAAAAAAATTACCAAAGTTAGGACAGCATTTATAATATTGTTAGAAAATAAAATATACGTGTGGCAACACAAAATACTGTTTCCGATCTCAACGTCACTCAGTTACCTGTCGGCACTTGTCGAAAACGGTGCGTTTTTTGGCGGGCCAATTTCTGTGGATTTTTTCAAGTGAATTGTGCATTATGGCGAAAACACAGGTAAGTTTAATCGTATGTTTGTTGTGTAAAACAATGTGCTGAGTATTTTGATAATAGTTTCATTGCTGTAGCTTGTGTGTTACAAAAGTTATGAAGGTAGGCAAAGTTACCAAGTGATGTGCAGTCATGTAAATGTCAACATTGCCCGCCGTCAAAAAACGTTAAGGGTTGACACTTTTTATTTTCTTTCTACATGACCGCCAAAAATGAATGTAATGTTTTCTGGGTTCATGGTGTAGTATGTTGTGTTTTTATGGTAGACCATAACGCCATAGTGACTCTGGTTAGTTATTCCCTATGCTTTTTAGCTCGTACTTACTCTTTTTTCGTCTCTTTTTTTTAGCTCGAAAATTGTCATTATTTTAAAAATTTTAAACTTTTTTAGTAGGTTAAAATTACTTTTTTCTTGAGAATTTATGTAATTTCCATGAATAGATGAGTTATCTTATTTACTTTGTTATTATCATAAAATAATTTGCATTTTTTTATTTCAGAAAAACAAACATAAATCACGTATTTCACAAAGGAGGTCAAGACGTGAACTTGTATCCAGGATGTATAAAAATTACTCTGAAGAAATGTTGATGCTTGCATGTGAATCTGTTCAATCAGGTCAAATTTCATCAAGAGATGCTCAAAGACAGTTTGGAATCTCAAGGCGGACTATAGTTAATAAAATAAAACGAGTTCACATGAAGTCTGTCGGACATCCTACTGCTCTATCAACTAAAGAAGAGGATCAAATTGTTAAGGTTTTACAAGCTTCTAGCGATTTTGGCTCCCCGCTTACAAAACTTGATCTAAAGCTATTGGTTTACGAATATCTCGAAAAAAACTCAAGAGATCATATTTTTAAGAATAAGATTCCCGGTGATGCTTGGGTACAAAGCTTTTTGGCAAGGCATGCTGATGAATTGACCTTACGAACTACCCAAAATATTTCAAAGGCGAGAGCTGAAAGGGGAGCTCAAGACATACTCAACTATTTTAATAACTTAACTTCAACATTAAAAAACATACCAGCAGAAAATATCGTAAATTTCGATGAGACCAATCTTTCCGACGACCCTGGCTCTTCTAAGAGCATTTTTAGAAGGGGAGTAAAATATCCAGAGAGAATAGTTAATTCCACCAAAGGAAACATATCCCTTATGTTTACGGCTACCGCAGATGGTAGGTGCCTTCCTTTATATGTTGTTTACAAAGCAACAAATTTATATTCAGAATGGGTTAATGGAGGACCACCGGAAACCAGATACAATTGTACTAAGTCAGGTTGGTTTGACAGCGCCATGTTTGAGAATTACTTTGAAACAATAATTCTTCCATGGGCAAATGAAATGGTCGGGACAAAAGTTGTCCTTTGCGATAACCTATCTAGCCATTTGAGTTTCAAAGTAGTAGAGTCATGCGAGCAACATGACATTAAGTTTGTATTCATCCCTCCGAGATCTACACGTCTCACGCAACCACTAGATGTTGCATTTTTTGCGCCTTTGAAAAGATGCTGGCGTAAAATTTTGTACCAATACAAGCTCAAGAATCCAACCCAAGCCACATTAAACAAAAAACATTTTCCGAAATTGCTTAATGAATTAACAGAAGCAATTAAAATAACAGAAAAAAAGAACATAATAAGTGGCTTTAGGGCATCGGGAATATTTCCCCTGAATCCACAGGAAGTCCTTAAGAAGATTCCAGAAATACAAGGGGAAATACTATCCTGTGGAATCGATAAAGTACTGGTAGATTATTTGTTAGAAACCAGAGCTCAAAAGCCTATGCAAGTACAGAGGAGTAGAAAAATTGATTGCGAGCCTGGCAAATCAGTAAGCATTTCTGATTTAAATGTGGATACTTGCAATAAAAAAACAAAAGCGAAATCCGTTAAATTGGGTAATGTGCAAAAAACAAATCAAGAATCGTGCTATTTAGATGAACATACTGGCCTTTTTGTAGCAGAACGTACTGATCTTTGTTCAAATACTTGTACAAATTTTGTTCAAGACTTCAAAGAGTCTTTATGTATCGCTCAGTATAGGGATAATTATATTCCTGAAAACCTTAGTAGACAATGTATCAATGTAATTAATTTTTATTTAGGCCAATCATTGCGTATTAAAACCGGAAAATCACTCACAGATCATTTACATTCAAAAGATTTCGCAAATAGTACCACCAAAATATTAATTGCTGGAAAGGATTATGAAAACTCCATGCAAGATCGTCCTATTAAAAATAAAATAACAATACTTTCAAATGTACTCCTAAAAGCAGGAACACCGGTGACTGATGTTTGTCTTTTAAAAGAAGTGTCTGATAACACTGAAAATATATCGTTCATTGCCACACATGAAACTGATTTACCAGAATGCCTGAAAGGGAAGAAAAAGAAAGTCGCGAAGAAAATAAAGAAGAAACATACTAGGAAAGATACGAAAAGTGATAGAAAGAAAGAGGTTAAGAATAATTCAAAAGGGAAAAAATCAGCCAGACGACGTACTTCAATCAAAAGAAGGCGGCCTACACCAGACGATAGTGAGTCAAGCTCGATATCTGCGGGTAATGATTTTATGACAGTTGACACAGATGATGATTATGAAACAATAAATGATTTTTACATTTCTGAAACCCTAAGAGAACAAGAAGATAAGGAAAATTTTGAGCTCCCTGATGTAATAACCTCCTTTGGATTACATGAGTTTAAATATTTTTCTGAAAATCAAGAAAGACTTAAAGTAAATGACTGGATTATTGTTCGATTCTCCACCAAAAAGAGTTTGAAACACTTTGTCGGTAAGGTTTTGTCGATTAATGGTGTAACTCCTACGGTTAAATTTTTACGAAAAGTTAAAGAATCTAAATGTAATACAGGAATGACCTTTTCATATCCAACCGTTGATGACATTTGCAACATACAACATTTAGAAGATGTTTTAACAGTTTTACCCGAGCCAACGATTACTCGACGTGGTCAAATTGTATTTCATGTAGATCTCAGTAATTTCAACATACAATAAAAATAACGCAACAAACTTTTTTAACTGTTGAAATTAATTATTCAAATTTATTATTAATTTCAATTACTAAGAATTTTGATTAAGACTACATTTTTGATAGAATAATTTAATTGAGTTCTTAGAAATGCTCAGTATATTGATTAATGATATTGTTGATTAGTTAGGAAAAAATATAGATTATATGACTGAAGCGATTTTTTTAAGACTGAATTCACCAATGAATATTATTGATAAGTACCTAAAAGATTGAAAACGTCTAGTTTGCATTTGATTAGTTAGTATATATAAATTTATTTGTTTAAATTTCATGCGATATATTATGGCAAAAGGTATAGGTAAGGTAGATATATGTAGCGGGTCTGTATACTTTTAGTGAAATAGCTTAAGTTTGTGAGATGTATGTCTCTAAGTATTTTATTTTTCTTAAGTTTTAAACATTAAACAAATTTTATCAATGTTGATTTCTGTAACAAATTTAGTCAATTAAACACAATTAAACCCTTTAATAAACAACTTTGCATTTTAAAAATATTTTTTCTTAATTGCCTCTTCCCACATATTTTATAAAATTTAATATATTATGTTTTATTTTAACTCAAATATGACAACCCTAGCACTTTTAAATCGCTTCTTACCATTTGTATGGAGAAGAGAAAAAATATCAGGGTAATATTGCCCATTCATTTTAGTTTGAAAATATGTTTGATATCGAGTAGATTTTTTATATACTCGCTTTTATTGCCAAAAGGCTTTTATTATTTTTTATATCATTGAAATAAGAGCTATAGTTCCGCTAAAATCTCGGTGGGTAATGTTGGCTAAAAGTCCAGATAACTTTGCCCGCATTGAAAATTGTCTATATGATCAAGAAAACGATTTCAGAAGCTAAATTTGACGGTGTCAATGCATACATATGATCTTAGTGCTGACACAGATAAAAACTATATCCTGGGTTGCATACAAAAATCTTGAGATATCTAGATCTATTTTAAAATTTCGGGCAATGTTGGCGTGTTTCACGGTAGTCGGTTTTTTTTGGGCCACCCTAATAAGTACAAATGTATTATAGACATTTGACGAATTATTACCTTTATCAAGATTTCGAAATGCTGTTTCTTAGATCTTATCAGAAAAAAACAATTTAAAAAGACCATTGTAAACTAAGTCTTAAGTTAGCTTAGTCGGTAAGTTTAAATTTATGATTTGTTCTGTCTTTTTGATACAAGTAGATCAGGATTTTTTTTCCTGAAGAATCCATTTCAACTTAATGTTTGAATAAAGGTGATAACTAAGTATGCATAATATAATTAGCAATAGTGTAATAATGTTTTTTTGTAAATTTTGCAGAGAATATAATTGTATTTGGAATTATATCACACAAAACAAGTGAAGCTACAATAAATGATCAAGCAATGAGTCTGAGAGAATTTCCTAAAACCTTAAAACTACCAACTATGACTGCCGGATATACACTAAGAGGAATTATTTCGTGCCAGTCACTACGAGAGTCAAGTGCGAGTAAAAAAAATGTAAAACAAATAATCAGATCATACAGCGCTTTCTGTCTACGAAATAACCAGTGGACTGAATTTAATTACAGTGCAAAAATTCGTCCTAGCAGTCATCAAGTAGTTCCGCATTTAGTAGTATATTTAAAATAAACTCACGGATAGATAGATAATTTCAGTATATATCATAAAGATTTTAGAAGTAGATTTTAGAAGTCTTTGTGAAAAAAATAGAAAACTTAGTTTAAGATTCATAATTGACAATAATTTGTCAAAAAGTTATACGTTTTTATTTTATAACAAGGAAAAAAAATAAAAATAAAAGATTACTTCTAACACTATTAATATTTATACACGGTGTGATGTTCTTACACTCAATAAATAGAGTTAACTTAGATTTATCGACTATAAATACGTTCGTTGCCGTGTAGTGGCGGTTAAGAATATCCACTACCCCATATCTTCCCGTGGGTGTCGTAAAAGGCGACAAAGGGAAATAGGCAGGAGATGGGCAGCAGCATCTTCCTGATAATAGCCAAAATAACAATAAAAAAACTGCGGTTGCCAACCCGCTCGCCAAGCGTGGCAACTATGGCAATATACCCCCCATGAGCAATGACAATAATAAACGGCCCCCAGTCCCCGGCGGCCCCGCTATTCCTGGCTACGGTGGCGACCATGGTAACGGCGGGGCAGGGGGTGCTAAGAATCTCCGGTGGAGGTTCGGTTGCCACCTACGACGACTCGACCTGGCAACATACAACGCACGCACCCTGAGGACTGACGAGAAGATTGTGGAGCTGGAAGAAGAGATAGACAAGTTACGCTGGCATATTATAGGATTATCCGAAGTCCGAAGAGAGGGGGAGGACACGGTAATCCTCGAATCCGGCAACTTGCTCTATTACCGGGAGGGCGACCATCTGTCCCAAGGAGGTGTCGGATTTATCGTCCACAAGTCTCTCGTTAACAACGTTGTAAAGATTGAGAGTGTGTCGACGAGGGTTGCGTACCTTATACTCAGAATCACCAAACGGTATTCGCTGAAGGTCATACAGGTTTACGCACCAACCTCGGCACACCCCGATCAGGAGGTGGAGGAAATGTATGAGGATATCTCTAGAGCCATGCATTCCTCCAAAACCCAATATACGGTGTTAATGGGAGACTTCAATGCAAAACTAGGCACAAGAGAGAACGGTGAGCTGAAAGTAGGGAAATTTGGAATAGGGCAACGGAACCCAAGGGGCCAGCAGCTGGCCGACTTCATGGAGAAGGAGGGACTCTTTATGATGAACTCTTTCTTCCAGAAGCGGCCCCACAGGAAGTGGACCTGGTCGAGCCCCGACGGTTCGACAAAAAATGAGATTGACTTCATTATGACGACCAGACGACAACTGTTCAGTGATGTCTCAGTGATCGCGAGGGTGAAAACCGGCAGCGATCACCGAATGGTTAGAGGCACACTGAACCTAAACGTTAAGTTGGAGAGGTCTCGTCTAATGAAGTCAACGCTCCGTCCCCCTCGTGCTCTAATCCAAAGTCTCGAAACCTTTCAGCTCGAGTTACAAAACCGTTTTCAGTGCCTAGAAGACTACAATGAAGTGGACGATTTGAATGACAAGCTCGTGGAAACTGTCCATGCGGTCGGAGCTAAGTTCTGCAAGACCCGCCGCAGAAGAACACAAAAACTCTCCGATCACACTCTTAATCTCATGGCTGTTAGACGGGAGATGAAGCTACATTCTTCAACAGATTTAACAGCATACAGGCAACTGAACAGACAGATCTCCAAATGCATGCGGCGGGACTTACGCAAATTCAATACAGCTCGTATTGAAGAAGCGATCGAGCGGAACCGAGGCTCCAAAGTCTTTGCCAGAGATCTGTCTGCCAGAAAGCGTCAACTGTCAAAGCTGAAGACAGAATGTGGCAGCATCGTTTCCGGGGCACCTGAGATTTTGAGTGAGATTGAGAGGTTCTATGGGCAGCTGTACACGTCATCGTTGGAGCCGCACGCAAGTGTGAGTAACGATCCAAGAGCGAGTCTTATCCGACATTATTCCGATGATATCCCGGACGTCAGTCTGAGCGAGATTAGAATGGCTCTCCAGCACCTTAAAAACGGCAAGGCCCCAGGCGAGGATGGAATTACAGCGGAGCTTCTGAAAGCGGGTGGAAAACCGGTACTTGAAGTCCTTCAGAAGCTCTTTAATTCCGTCCTCCATGGTGGCATTACACCGGAGGCGTGGAGCAGAAGTGCGGTGGTCTTGTTCTTCAAGAAAGGCGACAACGCTCTCTTGAAGAACTACAGACCGATTTCCCTTCTGAGCCGCGTCTACGTGCTGTTTTCGAGAGTCATTACGAATCGTCTCGCGCGCAGACTTGACGACTTCCAGCCTCCCGAACAAGCCGGTTTCCGAAAGGGCTTTAGCACCATAGACCACATACATACCCTTCGGCAAGTTGTACAGAAGTCCGAAGAGTACAATTTGCCACTATGTCTGGCGTATGTGGACTATGAGAAAGCCTTTGATTCCGTCGAAATTTGGGCGGTGCTGCAGTCCCTTCAGCGATGCCAAGTTGACTGTCGGTATATCGAAGTGTTGAAGTGCTTGTACAGTAGGGCTACGATGGCTATCCGAGTACAGAACCAGAGTACGAAACCTATCCAATTGCAGAGAGGTGTAAGACAGGGTGACGTCATATCCCCGAAACTCTTCACCGCTGCATTGGAAGACGTTTTCAAGCTTCTGGACTGGAAAGGATACGGTATCAACATCAATGGCGAGTACATCACTCACCTTCGATTTGCCGACGATATAGTCCTTATGGCAGAATCGCTGGAGGACCTAAGCACTATGCTCAATGACCTCAATAGTGTTTCCCAACGGATAGGTCTTAAGATGAACATGGACAAAACAAAGATCATGTTTAATGTCCATGTCACACATATGCCGGTAGTTGTTGGGAACACTAAGCTCGAAGTTGTTGACGAGTATGTTTACCTGGGACAAATAGTCCGACTAGGTAAGTCCAACTTCGACCGAGAGGTCAATCGACGGATTCAACTCGGTTGGGCAGCGTTCGGGAAATTACGGCACATCTTCTCGTCAGGTATACCTCAAAACTTGAAAACGAGACTGTACACCCAGTGCGTGTTGCCAGTGATGACATACGGAACTGAGACGTGGTCCTTCACTGCTGGCCGGATAAGGAAGCTCAAGGTCGCTCAGCGAGCTATGGAGAGGGCTATGCTCGGAGTTTCTCTGCGTGATAAACTCAGAAATGAGGATATCCGCAGTAGAACTAGAGTGACCGACATAGCCCAACGGATTAGTAAGCTGAAGTGGCAATGGGCCGGCCATATAGCTCGAAGAACCGACAACCGATGGGGAAGAAAGGTTCTCGAGTGGCAGCCTCGTACCGGCAGGCGAAGTGTAGGGCGTCCCCCCACTAGATGGAGTGACGACCTGGTAAGATATGCAGGAA